AGAGGAAACGCTGCACCAGGGCAGTGGATGGTCTGATGTCCGGCAGCAAGGAGGCTGTCTCTCTGTATGGCGAGCTCCAGCACCTGCAGGTGTGTTCGGAGGAGGACTGTCAGGTCGAGGCAGTGTCGAGCTGAAAGCAGAGAAGACAGAAGGATGAACGGGTAGAGGGTGTGGACGAGAGGAAGAAAAGAAGAATTTTGGGTCAGGCAATGTAAGTCCAGCGACCAAAGGTGTGGGGTTGGAATTTCGACAGTGCAGAACTTTCTACCCTCGTCAGTTAGTGTCAGTGCGCAAGGAGAATTGGCCACTGGCAGTATGGACGACGCGGAGAGTGGTTGCGACAGGCTGATCCAGCATGTGATGTCGGCAAATGGAGGACCACCTTCGCTAGATGCACTAGGTCGAGGATTCGTGGTTTACAAAGCACGGACTGTTCTGGCAGGTAAAAAAAACTTCACCTCGAACCCGATCGTTACAGCAACAAAGTGTGAAGCAAGCAGTCCCAGAATAAGCTGGGAGCACCAGTTTCCAAGGTGGGGGGCAGCCCCAAGATTGTTAGTGGGGGGCGCTCGGAAGGCAGCTACGCAGTTCTGCATCATGGGCAGCTTGTTTGGAGGCATCCGATAGGTGGCATGGCGTTATCCTCCCAACCTCTCCATCACGATGCATGTGCTGATAAGAACCGCGCCAACCAATCACCATCATCGCTTTTCCACTACATTACATCTTGGAATCTCAAGGTGTAGAAAATTTTTGGCCGTGACCGGCGCCCTCCTCCTCAGTCCATCTCCAGGGCACTGACTGGTGCCACTGGTGCCACTCATTCTCATACCTAGGTAAGCTTGTCCATCCAGTTCCTGTGTGTCATAGCCCTAGCTGCACTCCACCTGCAAAAAAGTCTAGACGCATCAGATTTCCCCAATATGCTTCTGTTCCTCGCTTACATTCCAGGCCAACCAGAGATGACGGGCGTGAAGTGCGCTGCTTCGACCCAACGGCCTTTACCGCGAGCCTCTCAGACAGAACCCGGGCGCGCATTGTACTACATACACCGAGCACACCTGACAGTCAAAAATCCTCTTCCGGCATTGCCCGGGCCATGACTACTGCAAACAACGGAAAAAGAAAATTCTCACACCCTGCTTTCTTGCGAGAATAGAAGAAGCTACTGAAAGAAGTTATGGGCTCCTGCTGACTTACAAGGCCAGCAGCGAGCAGGATGTGTTTGCCCTAAAAAACTAGCCACATATTCTGTCGCCATTCACAATGCGATAATGAAAAAGCGCTGTCACGAGAGATCCTTTATGTCCAAGAGCTTTTTTGCATGAAAGCGGTGCTTCCGTCCTGTTGCTGGGAAGACGCACCCCACGCTGGGGGCGTTCGCCAGCTGGTAACATGCACGGGGGAGATGGCTGATCAGGTTGCATCACACAGCTCCAGTCGAAGCGAGCCAGTGCCATGTATGAATTGCTGGGTATTTCGCCTTAGTACCACGGCGCCCCTCGCGAGCAACGAGTCGCCGCGCAAGGACCAGTTAGATTTCGGCTGATTTACTTTACTCATTCCACCATCCATCGGCTCTCGAAGAGATCATGAACTTTCAATAGCCTAGAAACCAATCAGAAGTGGGAACACCCATGCTGATGCGGCCACCCAAGTGCCGCTCGCTCGGCGGCACTAAAGTCGCCCATCCGAAATCGGACACTGCGAAGCTCTTGTCCCCTGTTCCTGGCGGGACCCTGCATGCAGAATGAACACATCAACCCTCTTCAAGCCCGAGCCGCATTCAAATTCCGCTCGGTTCATTGGCAGATCTGGAATCCATTTTATGGAGCTTCGCACTTACCCTGTGGAGCTTTTCCCATGGCTTTGGTTGCTGTAGGCTGTCATTGTCTGGATGTGGAAAATATTATGATGGGTGTAAACAACAGCCTGGAATATCTTCGGTCGAAATTCCCCGCCAGTGTATTGGTACTTAAGAGCCTGGTCGTCTGGCGGGTTCCCTTGAGTGGATTCTGCTCACTGTTTCACCACGGCCGCTGCACTCAAGTGAATGGCGCCCAATGTGGCTCGACCCGGCTGCAACGGGCTGCAGGTGCGATTCTATGTGTCCACGAAATCAGACTTCATCCTTCAGTCTACGCGAAATCGCCTCTGCCTTCGGGGATCGTCGGCCTCAGGTGTCCAAGCCATACAGACAACCATTGGCCACCTCGCAAAGATCGTCTGTTTTCGCTCGGGTCAGGCTGAGAATAGGCATGTATACGGTAATGATTTCTAGGTGACTGTTTACCCCAGCACAAGTTCCGCTGCGCAGTACGAGGGGGAATAGTTGCAGTAAGGGTCCTGTCTACCGTGTGCATCTGCCACGGGTTGGAGATATCTTGTTGCGCTGCGATAGCATAACTACGCTGGATACGAGGCGGTTGTGATGGCGTCGCGTAAGCGGTTTTCTGATGGAGGAATCGGAAGGAGGTCATCTCTCGTGGACAAGGCCACGGCTTCGTAATGCGTTTTCTAAAAGAGATGCTAATCTCTGGTCCAACGAACACACCAATTCCCCCAGGTTGGGCACTCTGTGAGGTAATAGAATGGTGTCGCATGCCAGGGAACTCCAGGCGTATGCGACCAAGCACCTGTTTCTGGGGTATATCGGATTCTTATTCGATAGCTACTCGAATCACAGTGTCGTGTTGTGATGCACCCAGAGCCAAAAGACCATAATATTGGACGCCAAGCCCTTTGCATTGTGTGATAATGGAGAAATATTCTTCCGTTGCGATTTTTCGCGTCTCCAAGACTCGCGCGTTAGCGACACCTTCCCCGGATTGAGCAATGCCAACGAGATCGTCACGTCTTTTTCTTCATTCACGACAGGTATCTACTCCCGGTTCAAGAACTGAGTAGTGCCGTGGAGAGGGCCAACGTCCTTCGTAATTGCGCCGGGCTCCGCTTGAATTTTGCACAAACAACGAAACGGCGTGTACGATGAGTCTCTTCGGGGCCTCAACTACAAACCAGGCGCAGCCTGCGAAAACTGGCTTCTTCTCCTTCAATAATCCTTCCGCCAGCCAACCGGCCAACTCGACGTCTCTCTTCGGTCAGCCGCAGACGCAACAAACACATCAACCACAGCAACAGAGCAGTTTACCGACATTCAGCTTGGGCGGTCCCAAATCGCAGCCTCAACAAGGAGGTGGTTTGTTTAGCACATCTACGCAGTCACAACAGGGTGGAGGTCTGTTTGGGCTTGGATCGCAGCCCCAGCAGCAGTCTGGAGGCCTGTTTGGCTCGACACAATCTCAGCAGCAACCGGGTGGTCTGTTTGGCTCGACACAATCTCAGCAGCAACCGGGCGGCCTATTTGGCACTGCAACTCAGCCGCAACAACAAAGCGCGTTTGGGTTTGGTCAGTCACAACAGCAACCTCAGCAGCAGCCACAGCGACCTCTAGACCAGACGCTGAGGTTCGGACAATCGCAACAAGGACAACCGGGAACCCAGTCACTATGGGAGGAAGGACGTGGCCTCAATGTCTACAGATCAATACCAGTACAGATGAACATCGTCAAGAACAAGTGGGATCCCACCAGTTTATCCTCACCCCTGCGGACGTACCTATACCAGCATGTGGAGAGTGAGACAGATGCATTGAAATACCGCCCGGGGCCGGGAGAAGATGAAGACAAGTGGGAAGAAGCAGTTTCCCGAAGACCGGGACCTGACTGGGTACCTCTTTTGGTGCAAGGATTTTTCCAACTAGGCCGCAAGGCTCAGATACAAATGGAGGCCGTCCAGAGATGCAACATGATGCTCCAGGAAATCAATACATCACTCGACGTACAATTGGACAAACATCGCCAGAATGTGGCTACACGGTTGGAAGACTGTAAGAGACGACAAGCCTCGGCAGCTCAGCGGACGCTAGCACTGGCAGTCAAAGTCCAAATCTTGCGCAATCGAGGCTATGTGATGGATAATGCTGAAGAGGAATTGAAAGCGAAATTGGAGAAGTTACAACGCGAGGTCTTTGATCCCTCTCTCAATGCACGAGAGCAAGAAGTCTGGGCGAGGATGTTGGGGATTCGTGAACGCGCGAAGCGGCTCAAGGTCGAAATGGAGAAGCTCGCACCTGCGGGTGCCACCAACGGGGAAGACACAACACTGGACGAGGAAACTACCAAAGCTGCTAAGAAGGTGAGTAGCTGCGAGCCCTAGAGCAGAAACAACGCAATTACTGACTTCTCCCAACTACGCAGACACTGGAAGCCTACGAAATTCAGCTACGACATCTACAGAAAGAATTGGAACTCGTACAGCAAGAATTTGACGAATGGGAGAAGATTTCGAGGGACAGAGATAATGATGTCCCTAGGCGGAGGTAATCGAAAGGTAGGAAACAGAAACAAATGGGGTGCAAACAGAGCCGGTACTTGCTGGTGTGGTGCACCACTTACGTGCAAGGTCAAAACAAGGCGAAGCAACAACATCTTGACTAGAGACTGACAACGACATTTGAGATCCATGAATTGAGAAGATGTCGTCTGCATCAACAATAATACCCTTTCGAACAAGAGTCAGACGGTCCCAGCTGCTGTTCTACTAGAGAACGATAGTATACAAGCTAATGTACAGAGAGGTTTCCCTCCTGCCTGATCCTCATCTCGATATACCGGGGCCTGCTTTAGCGGGGGAGCTTGCTCATTTGCATGCCCTGTGGCCCATCTGATTCGGGAGGGACGCAACTCTTGTTTGCCAGTCGGGTAATGGTACTAGCAAGGCATCGGAAGCTGAAATCGACATGGTAGTCTTAGAAGAGTTTGCTCGCCCAGTCGACAACGTGAGGGGCTAGTTCCCAAAGAAGTCAGCATCGGTCAGGCTAGAACGTTTCTATATTTGTGTTTTCGTTTTTTTGGCTCAACAGATTTGGATTTTTTGGGTTCTCATTCCCGCCTTTTTCTTGTTTTTTCCGCGGTCGGGTGCACTTCTTGTTCTCTGCGCTAGATTCCCGAACCGGACAATCTCCCGGCAGAACGTGGCAGGACGAGGGTTTCGAGGAAAACTTCAACAGGGAGTGGAGGTAACGTACAGAACCAGAGTGCGAGGCAGGCAACGGTGAAGAATTGCACTTGGGCCGTGGCTTGAGCCTCGCCCTCGCGGATCTCTTTCTCGGAGAGCTGTTCATGCGCTGTTTCGGGACACAGATTGTCAGTCCGTGATAATCGCCAACTCGCGATGGACATGAGAAGGAAGATAAGCGCCTGAGGGGTTTCGGAAGGGAGACTTACGTCCGCCAAACATTGTGGAAGAGTAGGAAGTGGTTTGTGTCGGGGTGAAGGTCTTGAGAGAGACTGGCAGCTAAAGAGGCCCTTGGGGTGTTGAGCAGGTTGGGAAGAAACGGTCTCGAACTCTTTCGAAAACTAAGCAGAGAGCAGAGTCTGGATGAGCAAGTCAAGGACTGGTATGTTTCGTGGTACCAGTCGGAATTTCTTGGTCTGATGTCGACGAAGGTCGTTTGACTTTCCGCTTTGGAGAACCTTGAGATCTCTCCACATTTCGGCAAAATGCTTTGAGAACATCTTCCTCTCACTCATCTTTAGTGACCTAGCCCACGAGGAAATAACATCTCTATGCAATGGCCGCTCAAGTCCGAATGGGTACTTCTTACGTCGGAAGCTAGCTCCTCCCACTCTTTACCCTGGTATAATGCCAGATCTGCCCTGTCTAGTGATGTCTCTACTCAAACAACGGCCATCTTACCCGTCAAGATGTGCTTCCCTCGCAACATCCAGTATACGGCTGGGTGCAGAACTTCAAAGTTCAGGTAGTCTCGGGTGATCACCTCCTAGACTTCGTTGCGACCAGTCGAAGGCATCCGCGGTCGCACGTCCGACTGACTAGACAGCTCGGTCCGCCATCTACATAACTCCCCAGTATATAACCCTTTCTGGGTTTCGTTTCGGTCATGTTATCGATGCTGGACATTCTGGCACGCACCATGTGCGAACCGAAGGAGCACGCGGGCAAGTCTAGACAGATTACTTCAACGGTAAGGTTTGGTTAAGATTCTTCTCTAGTCCGATCAGCATTCCCACGGTTGATGCTCGGGACGGACAACGGAGTCAGTACTGAGAACTCACCCTACTAATTGGTGCTATGCATGAAACTGGTGCTTTTGCCTTCTTGTTCGGGAGTATGTTGTTGTAATCCATGCATTCTGTCGCCTGACAGAAGACCTTATGACGACAGGTGGAAGCATTCGGATATTAGAGACGCAGTCTCGTTCCCCGGCCTCATGCGCCTTGGTGTTCTTTAAGGGCTGTCTCCTCAGTCTCCCACATCTGGGTTTTCTCGAGGCACCAGTATCTTCAGAATAACCGGGAAAGCCGTCATGCCATTTGCGCATCTCCTCCGTCACCTCTCTCGCAAGGCGGGGAAGTTTCGGAATGTCTCTTCACCCAAGGGTATCTCTCCTGAGAGTCTTATCGTCGTTCTCCACGATCATGGACGGGTTGACCATACTATTCGCAGCCAGCTCCAAAACACAAACAGGGAGGAGATCCTAGCCATAGAGAAGAGGATCAGAAGACTACTCGACATGTGCCTCGTATTCATGGCCTGGATTATGTTTGCTCTGAATTCTTTTGACCGAGTACGTGGTTATGATCGCTCCGAGTTTTAGTCCACCAGAAGCTAATGCTACATCCCTGCAGAGCAGTCTTGGGAATGCTCGAGTCATGGGCTTGCAGCAGGATTTGGACATGGATTCGAATCAATACGGTCTCAGCATGATGCTCCTTTTTATTGCATATGTCATGGCACAGCTTCCCTCGAACTACTACCTGGCAAGGGGACGCCCCTCAATCTACCTCCCTGGCGTGATGGTTCTTTGGGGGTGTGTATGTACGGCCACCGCTTTCGTGAAGACTCCATCGCAGTTATATGCGGTGCGCTTTATTCTAGGTCTCCTGGAGGCACCGTTCTGTGCCGGCTGCCTTTTCCTCATTTCGTCCTGGTATACAAGAACTGAGCTTGGACTACGCAGTGCCATAATCTTATCCGCGCCGATGACAGCGAACGCTTTCTCTGGCCTTGTCGCTTTTGGAATTTACGACACAATTGATGGAGCAAAAGGTCTCGAGGGTTGGCGCTGGCTGTTTATTGTAGGCGGCGCCAGCACGGTTTTCATTGCTGGGGTCGCTTTCTACGTCCTACCTGATTTTCCGTTCAATACTCGCTACCTCTCGGACAAAGAGCGGGCAGTTGCGCAGCTGCGATTGATCGCCGACGGTGTGCAGGTTGCTGAAAGGGACAACAGCCGCTGGCAAGGCCTCGTCATGGCTGTGAGAAGCTGGCTGGTGTGGATTTTCGCAGGGATGTTCTTGCTCTTGTCGATCGGTGCATCAGTACACAACTTCTTCCCCTCAGTCGTAAACACACTTGGATTCTCCAGAAATACGACCTTGTGGATGACAGCACCGCCGTACCTTATTGCGGTTGTCGTCACCATTGCCAACAGCCTATTCGCCGACCGACATCGCAACGCTTCCTTCCACGTTATTGGGCCAGCAGCACTGGCAACCCTCGGCTTTTTGCTATTCCTGCTCGATCAAACGTCCACTCGACGCGGCGTGTGGAGTCGCTACGCCGCAGCATTGCTCATGGTCGTTGGAGCACATTCTGGCTATCCCGTGGTTCTCTCTTGGGCACAGAAGACAATCCGCCAGCCTAAAGAGATGCGAGCCTGCGCTATCGCCATTATTAGTGCGTCTGGAAGCATATCACAGGTGAGTCAAAGTTATATTATATGGCTAGTGATCAGTTAGTCAAGAGGGAGATTGTGCCATGAAGACTTCCTTTTGAGATATTCTGTCTTCCATACTCATCTAACAGGACTTCGTGGTGCTGATCCGCTTTTACAGATCATCACTTCCGAACTGTATCCGAACCGCTGGGCACCGAAGTACGTACAGTCGATGAGTTTGAATACCTCATGCGCGCTAGGAGCCATAATACTCGCAACTTTCATGCGTATAATGCTGCGACGTCGAAATAAGAGACTTGACCAAGAGGCGGCTACTACCACCGCTTTCCAAGACATACCGGGTTCAGATACAGCACGACAGACGATGGAGCTTTCATCGTGGAGATACATCACTTGACTTGTCGACTTTGTGGAACCAGATCGTCTGGTGCGATGAGGCTGGCAGGGTCCGCTCAACGGCAAGTATCATATGCACCAATCCTGATAACGGAAACATCGATCCTCGAATGAACTCAGGGGCTATATCTGTGCGAGCTCTGCATTTTGGGCAAGTCATGAAGCCATTCGGTTTCGCCTCTCCTGCATACGTGTACGAGTCGAGTTCAAGAACCCTTGCGTGGCCAATAATCGCGGTACAATGTGGTGGGACCCGGTGCCACCGCTGTGCCCTTGCCCCTGGGTCGCAGGCATCATGTTTAAGGCCCCCGATGGCCCCATGGGGCCGAGAGTGGACGTTTCGACCACCGCAGATGTCGAGTACTAGATTTAGAGGGCTCAGTGGCCTTTTCACGACACTTGTTCACTGTAATTTGTCATCCATGACAATCTTTCCGTTGGGGCGGGCCATTATCAAGGACAAGTTAAGCAAAGCAACTGGGAGCCAAAATACCCCGTGGTTTTCTGCGACCAACAGTCAAACGAATTGATTACTCCGGAACCAATCAGTCCGGGGCTCCCGATCTACGAGGGGCCGAGGGGGCTAATCCCCTTTACGGCGCCCAATTTCGCATATCAAACTTGCCGGGCACTCTAGGTTTGCCCATTGTTCAACGTACCTATCGCGTTAACCTTTCAAAATCGTGGAGCGTGCTCGCCGTTTGGAGCCCAACCAGTCGTGAAGGCAGCCGCTCGCTCTAGACTTGTCTCTTCCCGTGTCTGGCCCGTTTCGACAGAGACCACGGTATGAGGCGCCAGTCCCTGAGACGGATATGTGATGCCTGAACTTTGGAAATGGATTGGTCGCGGAGCAAATCTCTGTTACCCAAGGCAGACGCTAGCCAGGCATCACGCAGACTGCGGCTCTCTCTTTGCTCGTGTCAAAGTTGTTCTTTAATGCTCTTGCAACGAAGGCAAAGGCTGCGCCCAACTTCGTCCTCGAGGTTCCAGCGGCTCTTGCAGCCTTAGCTCCTTAAACGTCTACCAAAAACAAATCTACGTGTACGAGAAGGTACAGCTGCGGCACCGTTCGCAAATGTCGCACAATAATGTACCGGCAGCGGTCTCCCCCTCAGACCCAACGGCCCATCCCACAGGAATATCCAGTCCGACGACGGAAAAGTATCCAGCAGATACCTCTGCATTCCAACAATATCCCGAAGTGGTGACTCAGCACCATACCCAGCCTCACATGCAGCCTGACTCGATCTACCAACAACCACAATACCCTTATGGCAGTGGCTATGCAGCAGAAAAGGGCGTGGCCGTATCACCACCTCCCAGACCTAATCCCTGGGGCCTGTCCCCGCTGGCATTTGGATTGCTGATAGCAGCGATTACCGCTGTTGTGGTAGGCGGCGCAGTAGGCGGTGGTGTGGGCGGGGCACTATCAGGAAACAAATCGGACTCATCCAGGTAAGAAGAACTTGTACTCGTACATAGATGATGGGTATGCTAACACAATTAAGTGCACAAGTCTCAACAACGACCGTCACTTCAAGCATAACAACTTCCCCAACAACCACCACCTCTGGTCTGCCAGCTCCCTCATCACTGGAAAATTTCGTTGTTCCCGAACCCTACTATGTCAACACGCTTGAAAATCCTGGCTGCGCAGACGGCAACTCCCGCATCGACGTCCAGTACGACACCTCTTTTGACCTCTTTTGCGGCGTCGATATGCTCAACCACGTTGCCGATGAGAACAACCCAGACTTACAGGTTGCTGATATTGTGGGACTGTTTGCCTATAGTCTCACGGATTGTCTGTACGCTTGCTCGAGCGCCACACACTTCGCACAACTTTATGGCCAAGATGAGGCGGGTGGAAATATGCAGCCCTGTGTCGGGGTAACTTGGACATATCAGATGGCACAGAGCAATTCGTCAAATTTTGCTAATTGTTGGCTGAAGAACGGAACATCGACTGGATTTCAGTGCAATACATGCATCAGTGGCAAGGTGGTTTAACCCTAGCCCTTGTCCTTGCCCTGACCCTGACTCCGGAACTCTGGTTTTCCGCTTCCTGTTCGAGAGGGCGTCCCCGAGAGAGCGCGGCTGGAGAAAATTTGGACGTCCAACTGTTGTTATAATATCGTGAGAGCCTCAATGATATCGCTTTAACTTGGGATGACAACAGTGTACGAGGTATAGCAGAGGCGAATCTGTCAAATGTAAATAAATTCTACTCAGCCGACCACTTGCATACTGTGTACCTGACCAATAGGAAATAATGCCGGATCTCCGCTAATTATTGACTACTGATTCAGATACCTCGCCTAGTCAAGTGGCTAGCAATCAGCTATGACTCGCGCGACCCACACGGCATCCACCTTCATTTCCCCCAGTTCATTCATCACTTGCTCGTAGTTTTGTCTTTGAACTCACAAATATCTGTTGAGGAACTTGTTTATATCGCACTCACTTGTCTTCTCATCTGACCATTCTCTATTGATCCTATTGGTCCTTCAAACCTTCGACCGCATGTATCGCCCCTTGAGGCAGTGCACCCTCACAATCGACTGCCTCGACAACCTTGATTCACTGTTAAAGCAACACTGCGCTTTCTGTTGTGTGGTATAGATTCTGTAGGTGAATAGTCAGAGCTCTAGCAAATACCATTGCAGGGTTGAGTTGGGTTGTGGAAGAGCACGTCGTCGATACTCATGTATGTGAGGCGTGTAGAGTGTAATGAGGAATTAAGAATCGAAAGCTCAAGACCAACCAGACCAGTTGGGTTCTGACTGCCAAATGACTTACCCGCCAAGAGTTTAACCTCTAAATCAACAGCCCCGCTGTTGGCCGGAACCCTTTTCCTTCCTGCATCACTTCGCGGAGCATTCCAAGCAGATTGTCGAAAAACTTCTACGGTCTGGCGGGTCAGTCACCACGGGACAACTCTGTTTCATGCATGCTGGCGTCAAAGAGCAGACAGTCTTGAGATTACTCAAATACTGCTCGACAAGGGTTGTCCGATGAATGTCTTGGAATACCAGAACCATCCATTTTCGTTTGAGAACCTCAAGCACATGGGGTTAGGAACTTCTCTGCATGAGGCCATATTACGCCACAACCCACCCATGGCTGACTTCCTCTTGCAGCATGGACTTGACCAGGATATCCGGAACACCAACGGATTTCTACCGATCACTCTGGCCCAGGCGGCCGCCCTGACATCAAATAGTCCTGCTGCTGTAGCAGTCCGGGATATCTTGCTAACTGACATTTTAAAACGTAAAACTCTGGCCGCGCAAGTCAGGGGCTGCAACCTCCGGTTGATAAAGCAGGACTTGTCCTTCGTATTGACAGTGGGACGCTCGGCTGGTTGGCGGATAGGGTTATACCAGAGCACTTCGGTTATCTGCAGTATTACAGCGGGATTTAATGTGGGCGTATGTTGGAGTGGAGACCATCGCGGATTTACACAGGAGTATACCAATTAAATCAATATGGAAACAAGCAACATGAGGCGCTCAGCAATCTAGATACCATCCCTGGCATGTTCATCCGGTGATACCTTACCTACCTACAGAGGTAAAGGTACTGCTCAAGTACTGTTTGATACATTTGTCCATTGTAGTAATTCCACGACGCCGCTTTCAAGCCGCCTCCCCATCTCTGGGACGAGGGGACTTTTCTTTGTAAAGCGGCGGCACTCTAGTCCCAAAACGGAAGAAGGCACGAGTCGATTTCCCAACCTTTGGTTATCCAACTTCATTACACGTTTATCACTTACAACTAGTTTCTCCTCGAATTCACACGGATTTCCTTCTTCTGTACACTAATCCCTCTCGCCTACCTATTGCGCTGTTCCCGTTGAGCCCTCAAAAACTCAACCAGACGTATTGCCTCTTCAAGCAGGGAGTGCTCCGTTCAATCATGAGCGACTACGGAGAGGAAGCACCACCTCCCGATGCCGAGGGGCTCGATCGACCGGACGAGCACGAAGACGAGCTTGACGACCTGCATGACGAATTCCAAGATCCACAACCTGAGCACGATGCCGACACTCGACCAAACGCCGCAGACGACTCGGACGATGAATCGCTTCTCTCTGAAGTCGACGAAGCCCAATTTGCGGATTTCGACCCCAAAGCCGTGGAAGTCGCGCCCGATTTTGACACACTGAACAAGTCCATTAAAGTGAAGAAGAGGAAGCGAGCCGAGGGTGAGGAGTCTGCGCCGAAGAAGAAGAAAGAGCGGCGAAGGGAGAGGAAGTCACGACGGGCAGAGAGCGAGGCTTTGTCTGGCCGCGACGAGGTCGAGGGTAAGAGGCGCAAGCAGCCAAAGGCGGCGGATGGCGAGCCGCGGAGACGCGAGCGAGAGGAAATCGACGAAGAGACTCTGTCGCCTGAAGAGCGCAGGAGACGGGCGTTGGACAGAGCAATGGACGCCGCGGTCAAGAGATCATCAGGCAAAAGAATGAGAAAGGGCGAGATCGTAAGTCCTCAATAGTAAGGCGTGCCAACCTCCAGTACTAACAAGTCCTCAGGACCTCGAGCAAGCAGCAGATGCGGAGATTGAGGATCTACGGAACCGGATGATAACGGCGGCTGAGACCGACGGAGATCTGGTGCGACAAGGTCTGCCTGCCTCTCAGAAACTCAAGATGCTGCCCGAAGTGGTGAGCCTGCTAAACCGGAACACATACGTGCAATCTATCCTCGATCCGGAAATGAATCTGTTGGAGGCAGTGCGGTTTTTCCTCGAGCCTCTTACCGACGGCAGTCTACCGGCGTACAACATCCAGCGGGAACTATTCGCGGCGCTTAGCAAGCTGCCGATGAACAAAGAGACTTTGATCTCTTCTGGTATCGGCAAAGTCATCCTGTTCTATCGCAAATCCAAAAAGGCCGAACCAGCAATCAAACGACAAGCCACCAAGCTCATGGAAGATTGGTCGAGACCCATTCTGGGTCGTAGCGACGACCACACCAAGAAAGTCTGGGCCACGGCAACTTATGACCCAACCAGGAGACGAGAGACCGCACCGGCTGCTGCCATTCCCAAGGCAAAATCCACCATTGCTCCGGGCGAGAGGGTGAGCAACAGGGCCAGGGTCCAGACGAGTCACTTGAACTTTCACATCGTGCCCCAAGTCTCGTCTACTGTTCCACATCGCTAGACAGGGAAGATCTCGGTGGAATGCACCTTCAAATTCGGCTTCTTGGTGGGTTTGGGAGACAACGACACGTCATCGGTCGTGGTTTCAACGGCATACGTCTGTCTCAGCTCTGCGATTCATAGCGTTGGGAAAAGTCCCTCTAGCCCGTCTGGGACGGCGGTTCGTATTGAACGATGAATCCAATGGTATTTTGACCTTTGAAAGTTGTCTTCACTTGCATGTTTTCGCGATGGCAATGTTCTTCCCCTCCATGAGTTATCCATCTCCCTCACGCGGTTTTCACTCCGGCACCATGACATACTGGCATCTCGACCGTTATTTTAGGTCCACCCAATTCTTACTCATGAATCTCACTCGCTGTAAGTGCCATGTCCGTCCCGCAACGATATCAGTCCCCCTGCATGCGACCGTTTTTGCCAGCCGACGGCGTTGTTGCGTCGAGAAAAGGGTAAGAACATCCGAAAAAGAGAGGATCACAACATAATGATGTGAGGGACGGTCCTGGAAACTCTTGTAACGACCTGAGAAATTCTCCCGCGCGACTTACCGTCATACTGATTTGATCGTAGAAATCCGGAACGCTCCTTGTCTCAGAGGTTTCACCGCTTTATCGTCGTGGTGAAGAATCCAGACTCGTCTCCCACCGCACCAGTGCAGGGTTGCAAAGTCCCCCAAGTCGACCTGGCTCATGGAGATGGTCTGCGGAAAGCTACGATCTTTCACTTCTGTTGGCCGGGCAAGAGACTTGGGTATGCAATTTTGGCGTCCTCTTACTCGAGAGACCAACCGATCCAGTGGTACATGCCCGGCTATGTAAGTGGCTGCGTGTTCCGAAGGCGAGGTTTTCTCGAAAAGCCGTATGAGAGGAGCCTCAACGTTTGTCAAATCGTTCAGTGTGCGGCAAGAACTGTAGGCCGTATCCCTGTCGGGGGTCAGTGAGGCGGCAAGCCACCATCTCACGATCAAGTGCGTGCTGTCCTAGTAGGTCTTTCATCGAGGAAATGGCCTGCAGTGGGGTTTATTTCGCTGGAGCTGGATCAGCAGGAGGAGTACGAGCATTGTCGACTCTTTTCACCAAGTTCAGTCGCTCACCTGGCCTTCTCAGCCTTGCCTACCTTCAAGCGCGCCATCGAACGCGCAGGACCTGTAGTCAAACTCAGTCAGGGGTGTTCCCCCTCAGCGATACTAGAAGATGTGTCCTATCGCCATGACAAGTGCCAATCAACAATCCTGGTCGATACCACGGTCCAAACATGTCCTTTGTCTCCAGCACATCATGCTGTGTCGAGCAGACCAGGCACACGCCCGGCAATGGTGCAGGCATGAACTTGTCCCGTGAATGACCACGATCCTCGAAAATAACGTCCTCTAGAGAGATGCTTCCAACCCAAGGCCGTTTACGCCTATGCGACCGACTTTAATGTTTGCATTAACAGGGGCCTAGCAATAAATCGATTAACAAGCGCAATAACTCTTCGAGTCTCTCGGTTCGAGGTGGTGCGCTCGCGCGCAAGAGTCCTGTCGCCGATCAGTAGTCGGAAAAGGTCATTGTCGGCAATAGCATATCGTGGCGTTGTAGGTCTGCGCATAGTTTCTTTCCAAAACAGTGTGTGTTCGCCGAGTTCCATCGTGTTGCGGAAGGTTGGATAGGGCAGCTGAATCTTTCGTGGCAAGACAATGACCACCAAAGGTTGTTGACGGGCACATCCTTCCGTCCCGTTTTCGAGTGTCTCCACGTACGAGATCTGTGAGAATGATTTTCAAAGTCTCCTGATGTCGGACGCCGAGATATAATACTTCTCTCACAAGGACATCAAAGATTGCCACAATTGTCTGGGGGTGGTCGCCGAAAACATGGAACCTGCCTTTTCTGGAAGTCCCAAGGGCAGCGAGTTCTCATATGTCACACCATCGGAGGGGTGAAAGTAGGTCAGAGAAGCCTGGGGCCGCCTGGAGCCCGCCTGGAGACGACGTTGCGCAGCAGGGGCATTTTCAAGTGTGTCCCGAGAGTATCCCGGCTCCTCCGTGGAGATGCTAAAACAGCGCATTTTCTTATACTTTTTGCAACAGCTGCACCCCTTTCTATCGGCAAAACATTGGGCTGGCTCGTCGTCATTTCTCGTAGGGTAGCTTGTGGCAGGGCTTCAGAGGGTTCCTTGTTGTCGGCGGGTGCTTCCGGGCGACTTGATGATCAGGTTTCGTCTCAAACAACCCTGGCTGATGATTATTCAAGCGAAAAAAGAGACTGGCGCCAATGGCCGGTGAGGGAACTTTGTATGGCCAACGCTGTGATTCGCCGTCAGTGAAACCCGAATGGGGATGGGATTTGTTGGTGGGAGACGCCGGCATCTCCAGGCCGTTGCCTGATGTCATGGGCTCCAGAAGCAGCAGAAACGAGAGAAAATACCCGTTTCGACCATTTTGCTGGAATAGGCATCTCGCTCCGTCTGGTACAGAACCAGCAACCCGGCCACATTGGGAGTGATTGAGCTCATTTCAACTTTGTCTGCTTCTGGTACTTCTGCCCTCTGTGAAATTGAGAGAATAGACACAAAGACAAACACGAGATCCGAGACAACTCCCTGCATAGAGTGTTGCTGTGTAAGGACGAGTTTCGAGAAGAAATTGGCTCAAACGCAGGCTGACTGATGCCGCACTGGTACCAAGCAGGGAGCTTATTCATTTACCAGAACAGCCATCCCAGCTGCGGCGAATCACACATCGGTTCACCACTTCCGGGCTTGCTTCGCACTCCCACTCTGTGGGTTTTTACTAGCTTCGCTACGTCGAGTTGTACGCACGGCGACTATATATCATTGACTGTTCGCCGTCAGCTGCACCTGCATTTTCCCTTCACCACCATCCCCAAGCAGCATCCAACATATTCAGACGACAAAGTCCCGAAGTCGCCCCTCATCCATCCACTATACCACCTCACCACCTGACATCATAACACCGCAACCATGAAGCTCCTCACCAAGGAACAAGAAGCAGAGCACTACCGCGCGACCCTCAAAGGCGGTACAATTGGCGGTCTTGCAGGTCTCGCCGTCGGTTTCGCCGGTGTCGCCTTCGCCCATCGCCGCTACCATTTTTTCCGCAACCTCACTCTTCCCCTCAAGGCATTTCTCGTCACATCCTCCGGCACCTTCGCCGGCATCATCAGCGCCGATCACTATTCCCGTGCCTTCGAAGCATCGCAAAATCCCAAAGAAGTCGAATTCCGGCAGCGTCAGTCCGAACAGGCCCTCTTGGAGAGAGCGAACAAAACATGGACCGAGCGGGCAATGGACTTTGGTCGCAAAGAGCGTTATAAGATCGTCTTCGGCTCGTGGGTCGGCTCCATGTTCGCGGCGTTTGCCCTGGTCAACAGAAACAAATATCTCACTGGCCAGCAAAAGATCGTGCAGGCAAGAGTGTACGCCCAATTCCTGACAGTTGGTGTCTTGATAGCCACCGCCGCATTCGAGATCGCCGACCAGAGGAGCGGGCAGAGCAGGTGGGAGACGGTCAGATATATCGACCCCACTGACCCCGAACACAAGCGTATGTTGGAGAAACAGGTCGAGAGAGACACCACGAGCCAAGGCACCGGCAGCGGAAACGACGACCTGTGGAAAGAGATGGTTGAACAGGAGGAACAGAGATTGAAGGCCAGGGAGGAGTATGAGAAGGAACATCACAGGAGGCACAAGAACGGCAACGGAAAGAAGAAGCAGGAGCAAGAGCACAAGGAATAGAGCACGGCAGCTATCCAGCTTTCAGCGATTCCTCGGAGGAGACGTCTACTTTTCGAAGGAAGCGTTGACACTGAAATCAATGGTCTTGCCAAAGGACCCTACGAACCCCAGTCACGATTTGAGACGCTTGACGACTGGTTCATCTGTGTACAATACAACAAACCCCGCCGATATCAAACATTTCCGACAAATGGACCTTGCCAATGTTTGGGCCTTTGTTTCGAGCCTCAACCCCAACCAAGGGTTCAACACTATCTCTCTATATCGCGCCGCTTCCATTCAACAACACCAAACTTGGGCATTTGACGGAGTAAAAATGGAGTATATATCTCGAGTGCAGCATCGAGAAAAGGAGGGAGGATCCGGCGTTTTTGACATGGACTGGATCTTGGTTGTATGGTTGAGCACAGTGGCCATGTATGTGTTTGCGCCAAAAACTATTTCTTTTTCCTTTTCCCCCTCGTTTTCAGACTGGAAAATCTGGTGAGAGCGAGCAGCGAGCGAGCATATTACATCGGGGGATAAATATCCTAGTTTTACTTTAATGTCAGAGAGGAAAAGAAAAGAAATGCAAATATCAAGTATCAAATATCAAATATAACATAAAGCTTGGATATCAACGAGTATAGTTTCCTCGCTAACACGCAAATGACACTACTACAGCTCGGACGAGGCAGTGGAAACGAAGTATACATAACATGTTCACATTCATGTCCATAGAGATCTAAACATCTAATAGCGCTCGAAACACCGTCGCATGCTCTACTGTGGGCGGCATGTCTGTTTGTACAGATAAGGTAGTGCCCAGAGAATATCCCCTTTCTGTTATATTCGTACACTCTCGCCGAGGTGGTACAGGTCCCAAGACGTCCTCAAGTCCAGATTCCGGGCACGGACCTGAATGCAGCATCAAACCCCATAGACTCCTCAATCAGTTAGTCAGCCAGTTAGTCAAAATGGGACCCAGGCAGCTTCGGCAATGCCCACGACCCTTAACCTACAAGTCTGCGCGCAAAATCTGGGGAATACCTGCAGTCCGGTCGTCATTCGCCGCCACTTTTCATGGCGCCTGCCGCCCAGCCCAGAAACATGAATCCGCCAGTTCCCAGGAGATGCTAGCCCCGGGCGAACTCGTGCATCAGCTCTGTGTCCAGCGACAGCCAGTCCTGCGCGACCTGCAACCCTCGAATCCGCTCCATCTCGATCCTGTGCCAGTCCCACTCGCCGCCTGCTTTGTCGCGGGCCGCGGTGAGAGGAGCG